TTGTGTTAACTTACATCATTCATCATCTTATATGGTAGTAAATCTTCCTAATCCAACAACCGGATCCTCCTCCAGGTAATAGCCCTAGGAATATCATTTGAATTTTTTCTTGCATATGTCTGTATGCTGGGAAAAGCCTCAAATATCCAAATCTACAAACAATATAATACACAAACATTAGTAATTGTTAAATAATTAATTTTAATTTTGGAAACATTATATAGAAATTCTTACCTTAAAGGCCCAAATAAAGCCTACCAAAGTGTATTTGGAACCATTGCCACGCAAACTACGACGGTCCTCAAAGGCAGACGACAACTTTTTCTAGGTAGCTTTCCATATATATGAACCCCACGGAAACATGCTCCATGCATTTAGGTCCTCTACCAATAATATTAGGTCCTTAGAAATAAGTTGTCTGGCCTATTTGCCTAAAAAACCGGCATTCAAAAGTAATAAAAGGCATACTCGGACAACATCAATGTCATCCATCTGAGTAAAACCATCTTTAAGAAGTAATCTTTTCAAGTCGTCGATGTGTAAACTGGGCTTCGCCTTTGCCAGCTCAGGAAAAACCCGAGATAACCATGATGGGCGAGCGATATGACTAGTGTACCGACCTACTATCGTGTCTGAAACGTAGACCAGTGATTAAGCAAAACTCCTCCCGCCCAAAACAAGTATACGCCGGTGGAAAATGAAACCATAACTCTTCATCACCACGTTGTATCCTCTCGGGTAGATAGTTAGTCATGGTCTGAAGAAACAAATGGGTCAACATAACATCTCCACTTGGATGTTGTACTTTCAGCCATGGCCCGAAGCAAGTATCCTCAAATAATTTTCTTTGTACAGGTATAGGTGTCGACGCTATTGTAGTGGCTAGGCTTAATTTATTCCTTAGAGTTAATGAAGCCGAAAAAAATTTCTAATAAAAGCAATAAACATACCAAGTTAGATATACCAAAAACTACAAATTATACACTATAAACAGACATGATATTAAATAGTGAAAACAAAGCCAAATATATTTCAAACTAGCACGGTATTCACCCAAGTCATTATTCTATCATAGTTTTTTGGTTGAAGTAATGCAAATCATTCAAGATTCAATTTGCAGAAGAAGAGTAGTTTCTGAAACTAAAATTCACAACGCGAAAATGAAAATCGCAACGCGAAACTAAAATCGCGTTGCGAATTTAAGATTCAAAAACTATTCTTCTGCAAATTGAAACTTTAATGAATTGCATTACTTCAACCAAAAGACAAAACAAAGACATATACTAACTTCACAGGATTAAAGACTAATCAGTTTAGCAGTATTGACAGCAACCGATTGAATTTACTAAGCAATCTAAGTAAAATGGTTAATATATATATTGAAATTACCAGTAAATTTATCATTAATTTAAATATGAAAAATCTAATAATAACACAAAAATTTCAAAATAAAAATAATTAAAAAAATTAACCATCGGTGGTTGATTTTCTATTTGTGGCCGTGAATGGTTGTGAGGGTGGCTCTGAGAGATGGAGATAGATGGATTTCGCCGGAGATGAGGACGAATTTCGTCGGAGATGGGGACGGATGTCGCCGTAGAGAGTGAGAGATGAAGATGGGACTGAGTTGTGATTTTGGGTTTTAGTTATGAGTTACGATTATACTGTTTACATTTGTGTTGCGAAATTAATATTGTGTTTCGAATTCGAAAATAAAATTCGCGTTGCAAAAATAAACGCGCTTTGCGAATTTGACTTATGTGTTGCGAATTACAAATTCGCGTTGCGATTTATAAATTCGCGTTGCAATTTTGAAAATCGTGTTGCGAATTTGAAAAATCGCGTTATGAATTTGGAAACTGTGTTGCGAAATTGGAGTTTGCGTTGCAAATTTGTTGGTTATTTTCGCAAATCCAAAAAAAATTGGTTAAAATCGTATATTATAAGGCATTTTCGGACACTGAAGTTATTTTCTCTAAAAAAAATTATAACAAAACTTAGGTTTTTGTTTAAAATAATTTATCTTTAATCAAAGTTTTAAATTTTCTTAAGACAATCAAAAAAGGTCAGCTGTTTTCTTCTAATCCCTAATTCCACGGTACCATGTACCAGTGTTTTGAAAATCAGACCGGCCCGGCCGATTCAACCGGGAACCGCTACATAGTCTGGTTCAATCTACACCGGTTGAACCGCTATTAGTGAACCGACAGGAACCGCTAAACCGTTCGAACCGGACCGATTGAAAACCGAATTTGTTTTTGGGAAAAATTGAAAAAAAAACCGCCATTTTTTTTTTAAATTAAACCAAACGACGTCGTTTGTAAAACGAGCCAAGTCGAACTCGAGTATTGCTGAGCTCGACTCGAACTTGAAAACTTTAAAAGTAAGCTCAACTCGACTCAAACTCACGAGCTAAAAATTATCAAGTTCAACTCGAACTCGAAATATAATATTGAAACTTGAACTCAAAATGCTTGAACTCAAAAAAAATTTAGAAGCTTAATTGAAGCCTAAAATTCGAGCTTGATTGAAGTGAAAGAATAGTTCACTCAATGCTCACCAAAAGGCTCTATGATTTTGAATGTCAAATTACCTCTATTATTTATAGAAGTTAGTTGGGATGCTCTTCTATGTTTCTTAGCCATGTGAGATTGTTTTGTTCTCATATTTTTACTCTTTAGACTTTTAGGATGTTCTTGTATGTTTCTTAGCCATGTGAGATTGTTTTTAAAAAAAATTAAACAAACAATATCATTTTGTTATGATTTTTTTAGCCCCAAATTTATTTTTTAATTATAGTTATATAATTATATTTATTATTTAATATGTTTTACCTTAAATATTATAAATGGCAGTCCCTTTTTTCCAATATATATGGGGTAAGGGGGAGGTAAGATAGTAGGCTACCCCCAAACATTAGGTTGAGAGCAACTTCCGTAAGAGACCTCCGAATTATGAAATGCCTTCCGTGGGACTCAATCCCACGACCTCAAGGTTAAGAACCTTGTGCTCTACCAACTGAGCTGGATGATCATTTCTTACCTTAAATATTATGTTATTGTTAATTTGAATCATTTTGTTTCACTTGATTTTATGGTTTTTAACTTATATATGTTATGATTTGCTTTGAATATGACTTGTGATATAAAAAATTATTTTTTATTAAATATTTTTAGTATTTTTATTTAATTTTTTAAATAATTATGACGTCGTCCGGTTCTTCCGACCGATCGGACCGATTCGACCGATTGAATCAGTGAATCGATAACATGGTCAGTTTGCTAACCGGTCCGATTCTGAATGCCATGCCTGTACCGTTCACTTCCTTTAAATTAAAAAAGTTTTAAATTAAAACTAAGGATTTTTTCCTTTAAATTATTTGGGTTTTTGTAAAATTTTTCCTTCCTCGACTGTTCTGTTCACTTCCTTCCCTGGGTTCTCGATTTTCCATGTTTCATTGACATAAGCCTTACTTTATTATGCTTGTTGCAGGGTTTTTCATTAAGCTTGAAGTTGACGAAAATGCCGTTCTTAATAGTAATTTATGGTATCTTTATTTATTACGTTTCAAAGGCGTTTCTTCTAGCGCTTTATAGTTTATTATTATTTATCATTTTGAAATTACGAGTTATTTTATAAGTTAATTATTGTGTAGATTATCTAACAGATTTCATGCATGAAATGAGTTCTTTTTTCTTCCTTCTGTTTGGGGTAAAAAGAAAATAATGCGGGAGAGTTTTATTAGTTTTGTATGTTACTCGACTCTAAGAGTATCTGTTCAACATGTGTGCACCAAAATTTTCATTCTCCCCCCCCCCAATAAATTAGGATAAAATCTCTATTTCACGCCTGAATATGCGCATTAGACATGAATTAAGTGAAGAAAGCAGATAACACGGGCAATTGGTGTTCATAAATCCTGAGAAGAAACATGTTACTGGGGTTTAGCTTTAGTCTTCCATGGATTGAAGGCTGAGGACTGAGGGGATATCGTGTTGTTTTTATCAAAATTATATGCCCTCTTTACTCAAAAGTTTGAATTGTTAGAACAGTTTAGAACTTGTTGAATTTAATGTTTAGTAATCCCCTTAAATAGTTAAGGTAAAGTTTAATGATTTCTATGGAATTTGAAGAGATCCTTTCCAATTTGGAAAAAAAAAGTTGAGGCAATTTTTTTTTACATTGGAACACAAACAAAACAGTCATTGTTTCTTGGCTTTTTTAGCCTTTTACTCCTTCTGTAATTAGCTGACCTATATGATGGCCATGGTTTTTTTGGGTCATGGTTCTTTGCATGAGTATTATTGATGTTCACATTGCCTATTTTGACAAGATACATGATTGTGACTGCCTATTTTATCTGGAGTTTAGATGATTCATTGCACTGTCGAATTCCTAAAGAGGGTGGTTTCTTTTTCAACCTTGCTATTCATACTGCTCATTTATTAAGAGTTTGGAGTTCATTGAGTTATTTTTTTAAGTGTGCCAATAAATGTTGTAGTATGACTAGCAACTTTGAGATTTTGCTGCCCTTTTCTCTCTTTTTTCCAAAGAATAGATCAGTCATGTGGATTTGGTAAATTGTCAAATTTACAATTTGTTGACTGTAATCTGCTGGTAGATGGTAAAATGTTTCTCTATTCTGAATGTGTCCAAATGTATTATTTGGACTTGAGTTTGATTGTCAAATACGAGCTTTGGAGATGGACATGTCAAGAAAATTGAATAGTAATATTGGTATTTTGAGTTTGATTGTCAAATACGAGCTTTGGAGATGGACATGTCAAGAAAATTGAATAGTAATATTGGTGTCTGAAATGGCCTTAATGTGAACCTGCAGTGATGTTGAGAAGGCAGCACTATTGCTTGAGTATGTATGAAGTTGAAATTTTGAATATTAGCCTTTTTCTTTGTTGGTTATAACTGCATTTTTTGTCTTCCAGGAAGGAAACAGTGATAAGATTCATAGATAGGGCAATTTATTTACTGCAAATGGTATGATGAATCAAGACAGTGACGAAGAGAATAACCCTGATGCATCAGAAGATTTTCTGCTGAAGCGCAAACGTGGGCGGCCGAGGAAACATCCAAAACATTGTCTAAATCTGGGGGAAGATGGTCAGACTCCATGGAATCAGAACCCGAACTATGCAGAGATTACCCGTATCCCACCTGGATTTCAAAGGCTGAATGGCAACCGATCACATCAAGCAAATCCAGTCAATGATGATATAATGGTTGGTCAGGCTGTTAGTGGTGTTATCGATTCAGCATTTTATGCAGGATATTTGCTTACTGTTAGGGTTGGTGGCTCTGACACAACTTTAAGGGCTGTGGTTTTCAAGCCTGGGCGTTATGTTCCTGTTTCAGCTGAGAATGACGTGGCTCCGAATCTCCAAATGATTAGAAGAAACGAGATTACCTTCCCACGCGAGAGGAATGGAACAGCTCATCAAGTCAATGGGCCAGCTCTTGCCAACCAGGTGACACGAGCCCGGGCTTCGAATATTGGAGCCTTAAAAAGCAAGCATGTGCAGTCGGGGGCAACACAATATGTTTCTCCGCTATTGTCCAGGGGCACGGTGGTGCCTGTTTTGCTCCAACTTGCTAGTTTATCAAATGGAAAAGTTGCCAGCCAACAGTTAAGCCAACCTCCTCATTTGGCAGCCTCTAAAGGCAAACAAGTATCTGGAGCTTCAGATACGGCAGACGAAAAGTCCGTCAACCTGATGCCAACTGTTGTAAACCAAATATTCCCTACTCAACCTCGAAGTAGTAACCACACCGTTCTGAAAGGCATACAAAGTGAAACTGTTCCATACAGTCAACTCCCAACTGAAGGTCTACGGGATAAAGACCCTAAGGGTGCGTTTGGTTCAGGGAATGTAAGATTACAAGTGGGAATGTAAGATTATCAGGGAATAAGATTACTGGGAATGTTGTATTTTGTATTTGGTTGGTTTAGCAGGAATGTAAGATTACCGTGTTTGGTTAAAGGAATAAAATATTATTAGAATGTATATTTGACCAAATTGTCATTATTATATATTTATTTTTTTAACAAGTTGAAAAATATTTATATATTTTCTTTAAAAAATTTAAATTCATAAAATTTATATAATTTTTTTTATAAAATTGAAAATATAAAAAAGTTTAACGAAATGGTAAAATTTTATTTTAACCCCGGAATTTCATATAAAAATGTTTAATGGAATGATAAAATTTTATTTTAATCCCGGAACTCCCTAAGTTGCCCTTTGAGAAACTATTAACTGAAGTCGTGAAAAGAGTTCAAGTCCCCCCTCAACCACCAGAAGTCCAAGATGGTAATTTGTCGATAAAAGATTTCAGACAACAAATGGAGGATGATCGGCCACTCTCAATTGAACCACTACAAGCCGTACGACCCGCTTATCCTTCTTCTGTGCTCAAAGCTTTGGAAAATTTCAGAACTGGCAAGATGACCGAGCTGTTGCAGGTATAATAAATCCCAACTCGAGTTCTATCTCCATATCGACTAATCTATTATGCATCTTGATGTTGGACATAGACACTGACGTACTGCACTTATTTTCTAGGCTGTTCAAGAAAACATGAGGGAAAACCAAGCATCTCGAATCGAACAATCTGCCATTGGTTCTGAAGAAACAGAGACATGATTCCAACAAGCAGTCATAAGTTCCGAGTGTCGCAAACGTTGCAGAGTGCTTTTAGTTAAATCAAATAGACTGTAAAATGTTTTCTATCCTGAAAAAGGTGTAGGAGCTGGACTTCCCTGGAGAGTTAACCTTAAAAGTTACAATAGGGTGCATCAGATTTTTCTTTGACCTTTTAGGATCAAAGCAGTTTCCATTATTTAGAATAAAGCTTTTCGTTTTTCAGTTTATAGATATGTAGAAAAGCTTTGTGATAACTCAGTATACAGGGAAACATCAATTTCTTGTTAAATATTTTTGCTGAACATCCATGGTTTCTGTGGTTTAATTAAAGTAATGAAAGCATTTGGAAGAAAACAATGGAGATTCGAAATGAGAGCAAAAAGCTTGTTTGTTCAGATTCAATTGAGATAACCATGCAAAAACCAAAAATAGAAAAAAGAAATCTTTGATCTCAGGCAATGAGCCAATGGTTGCCTTTTTAAAAAAAAACAATTAGTATGAATCTTTATTACACGGGATTAGGGGTGCACAAAAAATTCGAATATCTGATTTTGTGAAAAAAATATCCGAAATCGGATTTGGGAAAAACCGATTTTTTTTAACCGGATCGGATTTTTTTAAACCGGTTATTTTAACCAGTTTGAAAAAAAAAACCTAGACCGGTTTTTTTACCGGATAAAAAATCGGTTAAAAAACCGATTTTTATCCGAAAAAAAACCGGTATGAGTTTAAAAAACTAGCCGTTAATATCCGGTTTTTAAAAAAAACCTAGACCGGTAATTTTAATAATATTAAAATCGGTTTTTTTATAACCGGTTTTTTAAAAAAATCGATTTTTTTAAAACTGAAACCGGTTACACCGGTTAGGATATCCGGCCCTCTAAACCGGTTAGAAACCGAACCGGTTATTTTATAAACCGGTTTTTTTCTATGGGAAAAAACCGGATCGGATAAAAACCGATCCGGATCGGATTGAAATCCGACTTCTGTGCAACCCTACACGGGATAATCAAAATCAACTTGGACGCTTTGTTTTTGAATACGGCGGCAAAGGATTGTGATTAGAAAGGAACTCCTCGTCTCAGGGTGATCTATTAGCAGCATATGTTCCTCTCCCATAGATTTGAAAACTGATTCTTTACGAGCTGTGCGTTTGGCGAAAGAAATTGGGTATAGCAGTGATAAGTGGACGGGGTTGCACTTGGGAATGGGTTAACTCGGTGTCTTTTGACTGGGAACATCAGGTTAGAGATTTCTTTTGGATTGTGCGAATCTTAGAGAAAAATAAGGCTGTGAAAGGAAGGAACAGAGAAGAAAAAAACAAACAATCGGAGATTAAAGAATACCGGTATCTGGATTTAGTGCCCATTAAGTGTTCAACTGAATGACCAGCTTATATAAAAACGGACTTTTGTCGACAATAGCACCATAACTGCTTCCCTTTTAAATATATATATATATACCAAAACCTTAATTGACTTTTGGGTAAACTACTTAAATAGTCACACAACTTATAAGATATTTGAGCTTCGATCACAAAAATTTTAAAATTTATAATACAATCAATAAACTTTTAATCCATTTTCAATTCGATCACTTCTAATAAGAAATATTGACATAACATATTAAATTCATCATCTTCCCTCGAAAAACCTCATATTAACCGACTGTCGTAGGCCTCTCAACATCCAGAGTAACCTTTTTTTTCCCAATCGTCATCACCTCTAAACATACTTATCACAATCAAGAAATGCTTGGTTTATCTTTTTTTCTTTTCTTTTTATAACGGCTGCAGTTTACCATTGTTTCTTTTTTCCTATATAATGGATGCAGTTCTCTGTCATAAATTTTAAAGTGATTTCTTGTTGAATCCATCAGACAATACCTTGCTCATCATCATTCATATAGTTGATGAATAGTTAAAAATGAGAACCAAGCTGACAAATAAGAAACACAATACATTAAAAACCATAATCCAAACAAGCACTATGGTAACGTAACACCCTAAATTTCAATAGATTGCAATAAATTCGTCCATAGGACTGGGGGAAGAAACAGAATAACAGAAGGAAACAAGACGAAACACGACACTCCAGAAAGCAAAAACCTCAAATTGTACAGCAACAATGAAAATCCACAACCGTACAATATGTTGGATCAAACCAAAAATGCAGTCGAGTTCCAAACCATAGAATAGCAACCACACGATTTAATGAAAAATTAAGCACAAATGTAAGCGCTAGCAGAAATGGATAATAAATCACTTTCTGAATGGCAAAAATCGTTAGCATTTAATAAATCAAGTTCCATACAATACAATATACAATAGATAGAAAACATTTTCATTTCTCCTTCATTTCTTCCCCTTCATGCAGCAAAAGTAATAGTGCTAAGTATGAAATTCAGAATGCTTGTGATCTTCCAGCTTTCTCTAAGAGCAGGAATACATAGAACCATTAAGAAGTATAAACAATTCATAAAATCATATTTACCTGCTGTTGTTGGTGGTAAGCCCCGGGCTGCTGCTGGTAATTCCCATATCCAGGATAGCCCCCATAATACATGTTAGGATCTTGGGGAGGAGCACCGTATCCATATGCTTCATATCCTTGAGCATATCCATAGTATCCACCATTCCACTGGGCCTGATCAGGTTGAACCTGAAAACTCCAATACATTGCCCTCTTAGTTTAGTAGACTAAATAAGCTTTAATATAGTTTGCAGAGACACATGTAGCATAAGCTTTAATTCAGAACAGAATGGTTTTAAATAAAAAACCTGTTTGCTTGAAGGACTACGTCCCCATGAAAGTCGAACATTTCTTCCTCCTAAAATGGTACCGTTCTAAACAGATAATGCTTGCTCTGCACTAGCCCTGAAGTACATCATATTGAAAGAATGCATTAATAACATGAAACAACATTTAAAACACCAAAATGCATCAAAGTATTTACCAGATACCTGTTAGCGTATTGAACAAAACCGCAATTCTTGTTGGCAGGAATTTTTACATGAACTACCTCGCCCAACTGGCTAAATATTTGCTTTAATTGGTCGTCAGAAACACTGGGATCCAAACCACCAACAAATATCTGCATTTAAGCTTGTAAGATATCAGTTGTCTAAATCCACAAATGAGTATAATAATATTAAAACAATACCCACTGTGGTATTATTTGCATCATGCTCGCCAGGATTTCCTCGAGTATTCTGGTAAGTATCTACGAATCACCAATATATGTAAAATACCATAGAATAGATGATAATAAGAGATTGTGAAACAAAGTGGAAAGTCATACATGCATGTGTCAACCCAGAATCCTAATGTTTTCGTATTGCTACGGAAGCTTAACTAATTCAATAAATCTTCCAAAGGTAAACATTTTCATGTTATCTAAAAAATCCTAAACCTGTTAACGGATACGGTATAATAAATTTACATTATTGAACTATTAATGCTCTAAACTGAAAATAAACATTTTTCAAAAGAACACAGCATTATTCCCTCTATGGCATGAACATAACAAAATGCAAACCCACCAGCTAATATCAGTCGCAAATACACTTGCAACAATAAATATCAATTGAGTTCAAGGCTTACCTTTAATCCTTCTCCTTTGCCAAGCAAATCCAAAAGTATCAGATTAAATGAATTTAATAGCATAAAAAGAAAAATCATTATTACACTAAACCCATGGAACCAGTGGACGTCTTCTTATTTTATTAGCACTTTACAATAGTGTGAAAAAAAAGGAAAAGGAAAATTGACTCAGGGACTCATCTTTTCTCCTCATTAGAGATAAAGCATTTTCTTTCTCTCATCAATTTTTGGAAGGGGGAGTGGAGTGGAGCAGGAGGAGTTACTGGTTCTTAAATTGAATGAGTCAGAAGTTCAACTTCGAAGATTACTTTCAAGTAGAATATATTTTTACATTCTCTGTAAGCACAGAAACCTATAAAGTGTATGTTATTAACAAAAAAATAGCTAGATGAGGTTTACAAATTTAGAAACAAAGGAACTTGTTCTGAACGTAAAACTACCTATAACCTCATGACAAGTAATAATGTGTCTTCAGAATGCAAGATAAATATGGATTGATTAATATGCATCTAGCCATTCATTCTTTTAGCTTAGGCAATAAAGGGCAAGTGATCCACTTTCATCGAGGTTAAATAAGTTCTGGGTTTCTTTCCAGACTCAGTTTGTCCTTGCGTGCAACACATGGCAATAGAATGGAGGCCAAAAGGTTAATATAATTTGAAAACAGAAGCACAAATTTGAAATGTATTAGAACAAAACTTGCCCCAAGGTTCATCAACAGAATCAGGCGTGATAACAAGCATAGCAACTTTTAACATGGCTGCTTTAGCTAGTTCTGAGTAATTAAAGCTCACGTTTAAAGGAAACAGAAGGTAAGTGCAAACATATGCAAGTATTGAAAGGGACTGAACCATTATGAAATAAAATCGAAGTTTCTGGACTTGTAAAAAAAACAGTAAAGAGATTTAAACTTAAAGGAAGCATGTTGGGAAACTGACACTAATTGCACTTGACTGGAATACCTAAAAAAAACTGAAAAAGTAATTTGCGAATGTAGCAAAAATGCTGCCACAAGAAAATGAAACTTATGACATAAACAAAGTAACTGACCTAAAATGAGGCCACGCATTAAAGTGGAATCATTTCAGCTGATACCAGTTCCAGGCCCTCCAAAATGAGAGCCTCTTGGTGTCCTGCTTTAAGACAACATGAGTTTTATATAAGTTTTAGCATTTTTTAATATAATTAAACGGGCCCAAGTTTAAAAGGCAAACTGGAAGGAAATGACTGTATTTCAAGTACATAACCGAAAGGGCTCAAATGTTAAGGAATTGTTACAGTTTCGACTCAGATAATGAAAACCCAAAAACTAAACATAATAACCAATTAGTATTTAACTAGTCGAGTCAAGTAGTCTGCATAAACCACTGAAATAAATCCTACACACAACCAAGCAAACTTCATATGGCAATCAAGATAAATAGTCAACATCAAATAAACCACAAGATGAGTACCTTTCTGATACTGCTGACCAATGAGCGGTTTCTTATTAGCAGCTGGTCCAATCCGCATTGTCCTTGTGGAACAATAAATGCCATTCATTTCAGTCATAGCACGAATCTGCTCAGTTTCATCACCAAACCTCACAAAGCCATAACCTTTAGACCGTCCTGTAGTCCTATCAGTAACCACTTTAGCATCCATAACAGATGGGTAAACAGCTTTAAACGTCTCTAGTATCAAGTAATCCGAAACATCCGCAGCTAAATCCCCAACAAAGATTGTGTAGTCAGATCCCTCCTCTTGCTTCTTTTCACCATATCCGAGCGACGCCCAATTCAATCTTAAGTTCTGCTCAGAACTTGGCATTGGCACTCCATTGTATGATTGCAAAACCCTTTCAGCTGCCGCATGGGACACAAACTCAATAAGCCCATATCCCTCTGGTAAAGCAGTCTGCTTATTCCTAATTACCTTAGCTGAAACAACCTAAAAAAATCCCCAAAAAAAAAGCTTTGTTTAGTTATGACTTTCACTTCTTGGCTTTTGATTACCTTGAACGAAAAGAAATTAAATTCATTTAAATGAAGAAAGAAAAATACTTTAGAAAATTCACTTCTGCTAGTAATGTTGACTATTAACATACTGAATTTAATCACCTCTCTGGTTTCAGCGAAAATGTTTATGATGTAATTCTCATCCATCCACGGCTGAAGATCACCGATCCAGAGAGATCGAATCTCGCCAGAGCTGGTGGCCGCGGAACCGGCTGGGTACTGCTGCATCTGAGAGGGAGAAGGGACAGGTTGATGATTCCAACCGGAATGAGGAGGAACCGGCTGACCCGCCTGCTGCTGTTGGTGGTACTGCTGGCTTTGAGACGGATCTGCTGCCATTGACTGCGGTGGAGCTACGACTCCTGCTGGCGGTGGTTGCATCATATTTGATAGATAAAGAGGAGATATGAGATATTTCTTGGGCTTAATGTTGAAATAAGTGCCTAAACCCAAAGTTAATTTTAGTGTTTAAATTTTTTTCATTAAAAATAAATATTTAACATTTTTAACGTTATATTATTAAATAAATTTTATAAAATTTTAAATAATATTTTTATTTTTAAAAAAATAAAAATCTCAAAAAAATGTAAATGTAACACATGTTAATTTTTCTTAGCAGCCATTACAATGTAATCACCTAAAATATAATGTTAGAAATATTAGACACTAAGTTTTAACAAAAACAAATCTTTAAACACTTAGAATTAAATTAAATTATAGCGTGGACATCTAATTTTACGTTAAGCCTGTTTTTTTTTTAGAGAAGATTTTCTTTTTTCTTTTTCTGAAGTAGAGATGAGACGTGTGTAGTGGGTATTGGTTGGCTTAGGCTGGGGAAAATCAAGTGTTGGGCTTGGGTCTAGGTGGGTTTAGGTGTATGTATGTTAATTGGATTTAATGAATGTGAAATGTGGGTATTTATCCTATGTTGATGGTCTAAAATAAGATCATAGTCTCATGTTTCTTACCTAATTGTGGGTATTTATCCTATGTGAGATGATTTTAGGTCACCTACTACACCATTTCATATTAGAAAACTATCTTACGTTGGTTGTATAAACTATATTTTACATAAATTTATTTATTTTAGTATTTATAAGTTTTATTTAAGATTGAAGATTTTAAGTTTAAAATTTAGAATCTCAAATAAATTTTAAAATTAATATAAAATAAAATTTACATATATCAAATAATAATTCTTTCATATTGACCGTGTAGAAATAGCTCTGGATTACAAAATGATTGTAAATAGTAAACCATGCAGCAATTCCTCCATTCTAGATCACCAATTTTATTTGTTTCTTTTTTACTCGTAATACGCAGCAAAGTCAAGTTCCAATGCTTTCTTTTTCCTTTTCCTTTTCCTTTTTAAAGGTTTCTTAAGGTGAAAGGAAATGACGGAAGGATTAATACATGTTTGGGTAAAGTACATAATTGATCCTAAACTATAAGATATTATTTTATTAAATCTTTTGACTATTAAAATTTATAAAATGATTTCTTAATTTTAGAATATTATTTTGTTGAGTTCTCCAACTATTAAGAGTTATAAAATGATCACCAGATTATTCATATATTCTAAACTCTTCTTTTTTCGTTAAAAAATTGATGAACTTCTGAGATGGACGTTAACCTATTTGTTGATATTTGATAAAATTTGATCTCATAATCGTTTTAGTTATATTTTTGGATCGAATCTCTATTTATATTATGTCATCGAGCCAATGCTCGAAACATTGAGTTGTTGAGCTAATGCTTGAATGCAGCGATGGTGCTAGTAGACATCATTAAAATATGATTTTATCACATCTTAGTTATGATGTTAATGTACAGCTCTAATAGACATTATTTTTTTAATAAAAAAGATAATTTTAAAACATATGAATAGTTAATTTATTATTTTATAAATTTTAATAGTCGGAGAACTCAACAAAATATCATTTTGTAACTTGTAATAGTTAATAAACTCAACAAAGTAGCGTGTTGTAAGTAGATGCCCAATGGTGTACTTTAACCTATATATTTCAATATTTGAGCTTTACTTTAAAATCTAGTCTGATATTTAATTTATTTTGTTCATTTAGATATTTTAATTTAATTTGATTTAAAGATTTAATTTTATTTTTAAAATTTACATAAGTTTAACAATAAATAATAAATTTAGGTTGAAAAATAAATATTAAAATGAGTATTGAAGACAAATTTAAATATTAGGTGATGAGCGAAGAACAACGAAAGGAAAGGTTGATATGATTTTATAATTTTACAATTTATTTTTTTGAAAATTATAATTTTACAATTTAAATGACTTGCTGTGATCCCTGGCCAAGGCAACCTTCCGTCATACCTAGATGGAATTCGGTTTAATATATTTAGAATCTTGACTTTTTTCTTAGACTGCATTTTACAAGTTAATTAATAAATATTAAATGTAATAATAAAATGATTAATAAATATTAAATGCAATAATAAGATGTATCACACATCTCGAAGACAAATAAAATATACTAATGTTCTAAAAACAGTGAGGTGGATTTTCTGAATAGGACAAAAGTGCCACTTTCCTAATACAATATTATCAAGGTTAAAACAGTCATTAAAAATATACCCTTCCCTGGATTGACCCACGGATGAAGTGAAGACAAAGGATCAAAATTTTCTTCAGTTCAGTGTTCACAAGGGAAAGAGATTTCGTATAGCAAAGTAAAAATGAAAACAAAAACAATGACTTACACGATACTACTAAATGTTCTTCTGTCAATCGCGTTATATGTTGGAGCTGAATACGTTAGACCCCAGCCTCGTAAAAGTCTGCATTTTCCATGGAACCCAAAGCACCCTTCTGTGTCTCAACAGGTAACTTTCTATATCTTTAACAATTTGGTTTCTTTATTGTCAATGTTTTTTTTCCAGATTCAATCGATTTTATTTTGTTTTTCTTGATCTGGTACGACCTGGGTCTTTCTTGAATTTTGCATTTCTGGGCTCATTTTTGTTGAAGTGAAAAATCTTTATATATATATATGTGGGAGTTTTGGGTTTTGGTGTTTATGTTTAAGTGGGGATTTGTGACTACTTTTTATGTCTATATCTTACATTTTGATTGCCTTGTTTTGTCTGTTTTAATGCCATTTTTATTATGGATTTTGTATTTCTGCTGCCTGCAAAACTTAATATTTAAGCTGATGGATTTGGTTGTTTCTGGAGTTGATTGGACCTGCATGGTAAATTTGTAAATTTGAGTTATCTATCATGATAGATGTTCATGGTTAGGATTTGAAACTTTCCCTGAAAGTTTCGAGGAAATATAATCTTAACCCGAAGAATGCCTACAAGGAATTACTATTACACATTCATGGATCAAACCAAAGCTTATTCCTTCTTAAAGAGAAAAAAAGAATGATTTGTTTTAAATCATAATACGTGCATCTATAATTGCGATCAAACTAACTTTTACATCAAGAAGAATTTGCTTGTCAGAACTATTGTCTTGCTATCAATCTGTCTTTTTGTGTGGAGTGAAGGTTGGAACTCACTAATGAAGAGAAAATGGATACATGTCTTTACTGTTATGACTGTATTTTAATACTAGTAGATACTGTTGTCCTTGTGTGGACAAAAATTTTCTGGTGCCAATTTAACTTCCTGTTAATTCTACAAAACCTTCATGTTGCGATTTAGTTGAAATGCTTTGTGGTTGATGGACGTGTTGCAGGTACACATATCATTGGCGGGAGAAAATCACATGCGAGTCTCATGGGTCACTGATGATAAATATGCTCCTTCGATTGTTGAATACGGAACGTCACCTGGACAATACACATTTTCGTCTCAAGGAGACACCACCTCTTATAGTTACCTGTTTTATAGCTCTGGAAAGATACACCACACTGTCATTGGGCCTCTGGAGCATGATACTGTTTATTTCTATCGCTGTGGAGGACAAGGTCCTGAATTTCAGCTCAAGACCCCTCCCGAACAATTTCCTGTTACTTTTGCTGTGGCTGGGGATTTAGGTCAAACTGGCTGGACTAAATCAACATTAGACCACATCGACAAATGCAACTATGATGTGCATCTACTTCCTGGAGACCTTTCGTATGCTGATTGCATGCAACATCGCTGGGACACCTTTGGTGCGCTGGTACAGCCACTTGCGAGTGCCAGACCATGGATGGTAACACAAGGCAACCACGAAAAGGAAAAGATACCCTTTTTCACAGATGCATTTGCGTCTTATAATGCAAGATGGAAAATGCCTTTTGACCAAAGCGAATCAACCTCAAATCTTTATTATTCTTTTGAAGTTGCAGGGGTCCATGTTGTCATGCTTGGTTCATATACGGATTACGATGAGCTTTCAGATCAATATAGCTGGTTGAAGGTAGATTCTTCCTATCCTCTAACGGTTGAAGATCAATATAGTATGCAACTCGATCATGATTAGGATGAAATCTCCAGTTGTGCATTTCATTGACAAACTTCTCGTCTTTTTAAATCTGCAGGCTGATCTTTCAAAGGTGGACCGAAAAAAGACACCCTGGTTGGTTGTGTTGTTCCATGTTCCTTGGTACAATAGTAACCATGCTCATCAAGGTGAAGGGGATGGGATGATGGCAGCCATGGAACCACTGCTTTATGCTGCTGGTGTTGATTTAGTACTTACTGGTCATGTGCATGCTTACGAGCGCACCGTATGTCAAAACCGACCTAGCTCTGTTTCTTATTTTTGTATCGTATCATTAGATGGATATGTGATGCCTTGTTCTCTACTTGACAGAAACGTGTTAACAAGGGAAAATCAGATCCTTGTGGTGCTGTTCATATTACTATAGGAGATGGAGGCAACAGAGAAGGTTTAGCTCAAAAGTATGTTTTCTTACATAGAATTTTTATATCTGGAGATCAAATTGCTTAAAATTAACATTCTTTTATCTTGTGTGTTCAAATAATTTTTTAGTCTAAAGTTGAGCTTACCTTGAATGATTAGTGAATCTTCAAGCAAAGTATAGTGGGGTATGGTTCCTTATTAAATATACTTACAGGTATATACACCCAACACCTGAGTGGTCAGTGTTCCGCGAAGCGAGCTTTGGTCATGGTGAGCTCAAGATAGTGAATTCAACCCATGCATTTTGGAGCTGGCACCGGAATGACGATGATGAACCAGTGAGGTCTGATCAGGTTTGGATAATCTCTCTCCTCGGTTCCGGATGTCTAGAAGAAAAGGCGAATGAACCAAGGAAAATTCTCTTTTCTCCCTAGGCTAAGTGATCAGCGCCCCTAGTTTCACCTAAAGTCTTGGTAAACAGTGTGTATGTGTGTATATCGTAGTCATGGTTTCAGTTAGTAAAATGCTCATTCTCTTCATAGAATTGAGCATACAGACCATTTTCATTTCAAGTTCTCACTTAATGATTGTGTGTAACCTTTCAACTAGTTTAGTTGATGAAGTTGTTTCGCACCCTTTTCCCGGAATAATGGTTTCAGTATAGCCGTGCAGTCAAATTTTTGCTGCAAAAGTATTTTAGCATTCATTCTATTAAGATACTAGATTCAAGACTCAAAAGTTAAACGGTATTTTACAAATATTCAACAAAACAAGAACCAAATAAAAATTGAATAAATAAAACTCAGATCGATAAACATTGGTTGAAGGTCGAATCTTCCTCCTCGAGCTTGGAATCTAAGGTGTGAAAAACTTAGATGCATTAGTCATTTACACACTTAGACAAGGAAATTCAACCCAAAATTCCAACTTTACAGCGGCAAAAGCAAAAAAATAGACGAAAGAGATAGATGGAGAGGGCAAAGAAAAAATATGGCGCGATTCGTGAAGCTGAAAATATAAGAAAACCTTAAATGTATATAGGTTATTATGATAATTATCTCGGGGCAGATATATTATAATATTTATTCCCCTTTTTTTAAGAAAAAACCGTAACCCGTTTTAATTCAATCCTATAATATTGGATCGAGTCAGGGTTCATCGGTTCCTAGTTTTTTTTCATCCTTGTATTATATATGGATACACATTATGAAGTTAAATGAGATTCTTTAAGAAAAATTCTTCATCGTATTCTCAAAATAATGAGAACATATGCACCATGTTTATTCAAAAATTGGATCCTCTATCTCTAGCCTTTCTTAAGATCATTATATCCATTGTGTAACTAATCAATCAACCAGAATCTGTTTATACAACAATGCTTGTTGAATCTAATATCCGAATGATGATATATGATGTAAACCAAGAATCATGACTTAATGTACCCATTGCTATTCATTTCTGTGCATAGGTAGCTATTCGTGTTTTAGTAACTAAGTTGATGAAGAGACCATAATGGTTAGGATGATCTAGTAGACTCGGACTCGGACTCGGTTGCTAGCTACTGTTGTCCTTTTGAAACATCTCAAGGTCAGTTACGGTGCTATCCCTGTCACTTCCTTTGGTATCAAAAACAGGAGCTCAACGGGAATGAAAGTGCAGAAGATTTGAATAACGATGCCCAAAAGAAGGTTGTCGAAAGATCCCGAAGAGATGTTCAAGATCGATGCCAACCCAGCACCTACGAATGATCCTACGGTGGACCCAAAGTTGTTTATTGACATAAAGAGTGCAAATAGTGTTCCTTCGATTCCCGGAGGGCAAAGCTGTCCGGACAAGATCAGGAATGGCATTAACCTGCATTTGCATGCAATCACGGGAAGAACTCGATGTAAGATTTGTGCAGAAAGGTTGGAGGAAGAAAGAATGTTTGAGCTTCGAACGTAACCGAAAACAAACAACAAGGCATGTGGCTTGCACACTTGATGAAGAATTCCATGTGAAACATTCCCGTATTATAATGATGAATTATCCAAATACACAAAAATACGTACTTGAATTGGTTGACGGCATCGGAAAGTGCAGATCCGCAAAGAACCAAGGTCTTGTCTGATACTCCGAATTGAACATTAATTCGAGACACCAAAATAAAGTCAAAGAGATTCAAAAAAGCCAAACCGATATGAGCAAACCTGCATTATTTTTCCGGAATAAGAGATACAACTTGATCACATTATTTTCAAGAACAAATTTTTTTTCCTGAATGAATTAAGCAAGCTACCAAGTACTTACGCAAGAATTGTTCGTAACTTCATTTTCTTCAAGTACCGATTATACGTAAATGTCCCTAGCATGAGTCCTAACCATCCAATAACACGTACAGTCCCCAAAAATGATGCTTCCATCTTCAAAAACTCGGTCTGGTAGTAGAACATGATTGTTGAAAGGTTTGGAACAGTAACGTGTGCTAGGAAAAACCAAGCCATGGGTCTGGAGTTCCAAGGGGCAAATTAAACCAAAAAGAAACTTAATTTGAAGGGAAAAAGCATCTATGAAGTATAACTTGAAACGGTATCAAACAACAGTGTCAACTAGGATAACGTAAACATCAAGCAAGACTATTCTATACCATCAGCCATTTTTTGGGTGATCATTTCAAGTAGTTGCCTTGGAAATGCAAAGCATTTCATAACAGTATGTTTAATCTTTGGTACCAGAAAGTAAGTTAATATTTACCTTAAAATGATTGGTTGTTTAAAAGCACAGCACAAGCTGTAAGTCGCATCTTTCAGAGACTGGAACCATACCAATGGCAGCGACTTGTCCGTACCCGGATTCTGGATCTGTGCTTTTCTGTGCATATGTTGTGTCTTTTTACTTTTCTTTTTGTTCTTTCTTTTTCTGGCACTAACATAGGATTTCCTTTCCAAAGAAGTGTCTTCATCCGAATAGTTAGTGTTCCCATTCAAATGATGTGAATCACTTGAATTAGAGAATTCGAATAAATCGTCACTGCCCATGGAATACTCTTTAACCAAACCACATGAAAACAACTGTGTGGCTGGAAGTACAGAGAAAAGGAGAAAAATAATATTTATCTCTAAGTTGTTCAATGCATATCCTCCTAGCAAACTCCCACACACTCCACCAAAAGCCATCGACAACCATGATAATGACTGAAGGTCTCCGGCAAATGAGGCCCTGATCAAAATTAGTTCAACTTTTTAAGCTATTTATTCTTCAGAAGAAAACCAAGCAAGCAATTGGTTGCAAAAAAACATATCGGAAAGTAAATTCAATAGAAGAACATACTTCTCAGATCTTACAGCCTCAGCGATCATTGCATCAATCACAACATCCGCCATTGCGGAACCTAGGTTTTGCAGTGTTAATAAGACCATGAGATGCCACATGGAATTCCTTGCGGAGGAATTTATACCCAGAATAAGCCATGACACAAGAGACGTTACAGTGGCAATCACCAAGTATGGAATCCTTTTTTTCCCTCTAATTGGAATGCAGTCAGACAAAATCCTGCACATAGAAACAGGGTAAGACTTCAACAAATAATCAAGAGATACTATAATGCTAGAACTGCAATTTTCTTGTCAGCATGTATTCGTCAGCCAAATAGCATCCCTTACAACATATGTGATGGCCTTTAGGCCATTACCAATCATGTTCCAAATTATATTTTCCCTCAAAACATTCTTTTACTATGCCTATACATTCATACCAAACACTGGTTTATCAGAAAATTCTGAATTGGCATTATCCAAATTCTTTGGAACTTTAATATGTTTTTTCTAAAAAATAAATATACCAAAATTATGTCTTTCCACGACAAAATGAACACTAAGCACAACACTGATGCATACCCGTATACGGGCTTTATGCTCCATGGGAAAATTGATACTGATAACACAAATTGGGAAGCCGAAGGTGACAATTTAAGCCTATCCTTCAGCTGGTAAGAAATTGATGTCCATACGAATGATCTGAAACCCTGCACTCATACACCAAGAAATTAACTTTAAATCCAAACTTAAAGAAAGGTAAAAGGGAACATAGATAAGAATTGCAAGAGCGTAGAGATGGGAACTATCGAAACTCAAAACAAAAATAAGAGCTTGTAAGCTTATGCAACAGATACACCAGGGAGATCTTGAATCACTCCTAATATTCATATTAGCAGATAAAAATGGTGATCTTTCCACTAAACTGAAACTCATTTAGGCTAGTCGACCCAACTTCAGTAAAAGGCTCTCCAATTATAAAGTTTGACACTTGACGAAGATCCCATTTATCAAAATTCACCATCAATCAAACATAAACAAAATTATTTCTTAAAAAAAGGTAAAATATTAACCCAAACTGTCATTTACAAATTCCTATTTGTATCCAAATCCAAAGTTCTAAAAAAACAAATAAATAAATGCAAATCTTAGCTTTCGATGAAAATCAATACGGGATACACAAAAAGCCAGAAACTCAAAGGAATGGAATTTCACATGTTTATTAGCAATTCGATGGATCAAACAAAATGAGGAAAAAAAGAGAAGAAATAAATGAGGAACCTGGGTGTAGTAAATCAAACAAACAAGCCACAGAAACGCCAAACCGAATGCTGTTTTGAGCTGCTTTATCCATTCTATCATCTTCCAAAAAAAGAGATAAAAACAAATCAACAAATCTGGAGGAAAAAGGAAAACAGAAAAAGCTTGGAATCTCTTTCTCCCTTAGTTCTGTTCCTGGATCATCCAAATTCGTTTTTGTTTGGGACTATTTTCAGTTATGGAATAAAGTAGCGAACACGTATATGCTCCAACCAAGTATCGCCACGTAAGCGTGGTCCCGCCATCAGAGCCAGTCAAAGTCTTTCATTCATCCTTGGGACCGACTTTAACTTTTTGGATAAAATACATTTTAATCACTAAATTATTAGTTTGATTACAAATAGGTCAATTCTTATAAAATATATATAATTTAATCACTCCATTAAAATATTATTATAAATAGATTATTGTGTTATTGAAACATACATCTACTGTAATTGGTAAAATAATAATATTAGTTTCTAAAATTTATGCATTATATCAATTTGGTCTTAATACAAAATAATTTAATAAATTTAACACTTTATATTTAAAAATTATATTATTTCAGTCTTTCTTATGCTATCAAACGAAGCGAGTTTATCGAATTAAAGTAGCAATTGGATAAATACACTATATTGTAAATCAACAATAAGTTACTATTAAATTGTTATTATACCATGAAAGCAATTAAAAAAGTAATATATTATTTCTGAGAGAAGAACACACAATTGAGGAGAACAAAGACTAAATTCAATGAATTATTTTAAATTATTATCAAATTAGTAAAATGTATAAATTTTGATTAAACTATGATTATATCATATTATATAACATTTTATCTAATATTTAACAGTTCAATAATATATTTAAAATAATATTTAAATTGAATAAATAAATTATAATTTTTAGAAAGAAAACCATTTGGAACCAAATTAATAATTGATGCGACTTACCTTAATTTTTTTTTAGAGTTCTATATATTTCCATCGGTTAGATTCTTTCGATAAATATCATTTATTATTCATTAAAATAGAGTTATTAAGATCCATGTATTGTATGCCAAAATTATATAAAGTTTTATCATCGATCATAAATTTAGAATAAATCCAAATATAAACATTTAGATATAGCATAGAATAATAATTCAAAATCGATATCTTATAAATTAATATCTATAATCAAATTTAATTATTAGAATAAATTACAGATATTGAATCCTTATACATCCTGATAGGACTAAGATGCAGAGGCTAAGTTGCAAACATAAAGATCATTAATTTCATTTGGTTATGTGTGGGACATTCATGGCTGCAACTCAAGAACAGTAATCAACCAACTGTTTAAATGCAGTACGTCGGACTGGTGGAGGGTCGATACACGAAAGGTCGGATAGTGTGAAAATGACCCGACGGACGGTTATAGGTGAACTTGATCCCGGTGCTGCCGTGTCCGAGACGGTTGCAGCGATCATGGAAACTACTGATAGGTCGGGCCAAGCATGCATCCCAACGGTCACTCTCGGGCATCGTTTCAGCAACGGTGTATAACCCCTTAGCGTTTGTAAAAGCCTGATAGTTTACTACTTCCCCAGATTTTGTGATGCAAAGAACAGCAACCTCAGCACCTGCACCGAAACAAATTAGTGGTTTGTAAATATAAGATGAACTGGTCAAGTTCTCATTGATGACGTTTCTACCCTGTTGGAAATCTTGAAAAGAAATGAAGATAACACTACCAGTGATGAACTGGAAAGAAAAGGAAAAGGAGAATCAAAGCAAAAGAGAGAAGACGAACACTGTAAAACTTTACTGATATGAATGAATACAAGGCTCAGAAGAATACAAAAAATAATACTTCACACATTGGGTCATGAATAGTGGACAGGCACACTATATATAACACCAGGCTTAATTGACTAGCCCAACTAACCAGAAACGGCTCAACTAACCAAAAACGGTTATAACAACTCAACCAGAAACAGTTACAGCTAATTAGCTGTAGACAACTGCATTTTATACTCTAATATTCTCTGGGTTTTCTACTGATCTGGATTGCGAATTCAACATTTTCCTGACAACTTCAGACTTGCTTGACATGATTGGTACCACTGATCTCAGCCCAAGACTTTACACCAAGACGAGAGCGGATGTCACCAAACACTGCAGGTGGCAACGGTTTGGTGAGAATATCAGCTACCTGTTATGCAGAAGGAACAAAGTTAACACTAAGTTGTTCAGCCAAAACTCTTTCCCTTACAAAGTGAATGCCAATTTCTACATGCTTTATGCGAGCATGATGCGTTGGATTTGCTGCCATAGAGATTGTAGAGGTGTTATCACACCATACAACTGGCTTTCCAGTTACATTAATCCCTACTTCACCAAGTAGCTGCTCAATCCAAACCAACTCAGAAACAGAATTAGCAAGACTCCTATACTCTGCTTCTGATGTAGATCTGAAGACAACACTTTGCTTCTTAGAGCACCATGCAATTGGATTACCTCCAAGGTATACACAGTAGCCTGTTGTGGATCGTCTGTCTTCCACCGAGGCTGCCCAGTCTGCATCAGTGTAGCAGACAAGACTGAAATTTTTAGTTTGTGAGAAAAACAACCCATACTCAAGTGTCCCACTGAGATACCTCAGTATACGTTTCACTGCCCTCCAATGAGTATCACATGGATTGTTCATGTACTGACTAACCTTATTAACAACATAGGCTATATCAGGTCTTGTTAAGCATATATACTGCAAACCTCCCACAATACTACAATAAAGATGAACATCACCAAACAACTGTCCATCATTTGCCTTGAGTTTAGGAGCAACAACCATGGGAGTAGGAGTGGGAGTTGACTCATCTAGGCTTGACCTCTTTAGTAGCTCAGAGATATACTTCTTTTGATTCAAGAACAAGCCTCTCTGAGAATGTTCAACTTGCATTCCAAGAAACAGCTCTAGCTGGCCCAAATCTTTAAGAGAGAACTCCTTGTTAATCGCTTACACTACAGCATCCACTTCTATCACCTGACTTCCCGTGATAACTATATCATCTACATATACCATTAACAACACTTGAGAACATGTTGAGTTTCTGATAAACAGAGAAGAATCAGCTTTTGAAGCAACAAAGTCCCGGCTTTCAATCAGAAACTTTCTCAAGGTCTCAAACCATGCTCTAGGTGCTTGTCTAAGCCCATAAAGAGCCTTCTTCAAGCAACATACCAGTTCCTTCCCATCTTCACTTCTTTGCTCAAATCCTGGAGGTTGACACATGTATATTTCCTCAGTTAGCCTCCCATTAAGGAATGCATTGTTGATGCCAATTCGTCTAAGTGGCCAATCTTTCATGACAACAACTGCCAGTATAGTTCTTATTGTACTCGCTTGAACCACTGGACTAAACGTCTCGGAAAAATCTCTTCTCACCATTTGAGAGTATCCCTTGGCCACTAGACGAGCCTTAAGCCTTTCAACTGAACCATCAGGCTTCTTCTTGACTTTAAAAAGTCATTTACAGCCTACTGCTTTTCGTGCTGGTGGCAGAGGCTTTAACTCCCACGTACCATTCTTCATAAGAGCAGCATATTCACTTTGAACAACCTCACACCAAGCAGGATGTTGCAATGCTTCATAGACATTTGCTGGTTCTCGAGGACTTGTCTCAGCAAGCAGCACTTTAGGCTTAAAAACACCGGCTTTGCCACGAGTGACCATAGGATGAACATTTTGAACTAGCCGAGGTGGAGATGATGGTGATGATGGTGAAAGAGGTGGTAATGATGAAGGTGATGATGATGATGAAGGTGATGGTGATCGTGAAGGTGGTGGTGATGGTGAAGGAGGTGGTATGAATTAGTAGTTTCATTCGGTTCTGAGACGCATGGATGAGATGGGGATGAGATGAATTGTTGTGATGAAGGTGATACATGCGGTGAAGATGGTGATGTTGATGGTGTAGAAGATGGTGAATTTGAATGAGATGAATTTGAAGAAGAAAATGGAGATGTGATGAGTTTTGTGGTGAAGATGATAATGTTGACGGTGTAGTGGATGGTAAGTCTGACTTGTGATTGTGTGTGCTAGTAGGAATGGAAAGAAATGAAGGATAAAATAAACAGTTTTGAGAAATATTGTTGACACTTGAACGCTTTCGACTGTTTAAACCTGACAAACTAGAAACAGTGGGAAAACTTTGGTGTTGCTGATATGGAAACTCATTTTCTTCAAATCTAACATGTCTTGACACGTAGACACGACCACTAGAGTCTAAACACTTATATCCCTTGTGAGCAGGTGAATACCCCAAGAAGACACATGCAAAAGAACGAAATTGAAACTTTTGCTGATTATAGGGTCTTAAAAAAGGGTAACATGTGTAACCAAAAATTCTTAAAAAACTGTAATCTGGTGCTTTATGAAAAATTTTCTCATATGGTGATATACCAGACAGCACACGTGTAGGTAACAGATTAATAAGAAAGACAGCACTGGAAAAGGCATCATTCCAAAAACTTAAAGGCATACAAGCCTGAGCTAGCATAGAAAGGCCTACCTCAACTATCTGTCGATGCCTCCTTTCCACCAAACCATTCTGTAAAACTTTACTGATATAAATGAATACAAGGTTCAGAAGAATACAAAAAATAATACTTCACACATTGGGTCATGAATAGTGGACAGGCCCACTATATATAACACCAGGCTTAACTGACTAGCCCAACTAACCAGAAACGGCTCAACTAACCAAAAACAGTTATAACAACTCAACCAGAAACAGTTACAGCTAATCAGCTGTAGACTATACTCTAATAAATCTTAGTTATGACCTTCCAAGAAAACGATTGAATTTGTTTGGTTAAAGTAGTCAGAAATTCACTAGATGACCAAACCGAAAAAAGCATCGACGACATTGTACAACTTTAAAGATGAAGGCAACATAGAACAGATATTGCATCATCCAGCCCTGTCGGCAATGGCAATGGCAATTAGGGTTAAAAGTGTGGAAGCGGAATGCAATGGATAAAATATTGCATTTTAGTGTGGCTGCTGACCACTTGAGGAAAAATCTCGAACATCTTCAGTTCTTCAAGATCACAAAGTTTCCTCATGTCTATCAGTGCAGTGCTAAAGACTTGATCTACCATCACTAGACTATGACCAGTTATATCGACTCCGAACATCATTTTCTCGATTATGTAAATGAATAAGGACTTATTTATAAAATGCCCCGAGACTTTTTCCAATCTACGAGAAAGTTTCAAACACCCTTCATTCTTTGATTGATAATGTACTAACTTCACCAAGTATGCAAAAAAAAATAAAAATAAAATGGTGTCATTGTGACCAGGATGAGTTGCAGACATGGTAGGAAAAAGATCTAACATGAAAATCATCACAGTCGAAGAAGGAAAAAAAATCGAAACCAAAGATCATAAACATCACAGAGTTTAACATTTTGACTATTAACAAAGTTCCTAGCACAGACTTTTCAGAGAATACACAACATGACTCAGCTAGGAAACCCCTTCCAACACTATAATTGTGGTTTGCAATATATTTAGCTATCAGTTAATCGAGCAAGCACGATTGTTTGGACCAGGATGAATCGGTCACAATAAGATATTTACATCACCGGAACCCTAGACCTGTCCTTCACAAATTGCAGTAAATTAAACAACAAAGTAAGAAGAAAGCTAACAGCCATCACAGTCTCAGATGAAAAAGTGAACAAAGATCATCAACATATCCAACAATTCTCCATTTTAAACATATTAACCGAATTCCTTGTACAAACAGGAGTCAGCTCAGAGATCCTTTCTAACACTATATTAGCCTTTAGCCACCGGAAATTCTATCGACCAAGCTCCTATCGTAGAAGCAATTTACACAAAGGTAAATTACAGCGAACTAATCACACCATGAAAAAGGTCATTTTGTTTTATTTTCTTTGTTCAATCTTTAGCATAAATTGAATCAATCCAAGGCAGTTATATAAATAAGGCCATCCATCATCTGAATTAGTCAAAATTCAACTAAATCATTCAAGTTCGTAAGAATATAAGCAGTGATTAACCCAAACAAGGGACAAACTTTCATCTTTACACAGAAACTGAAATCCCACCGACACCTTAAGAATCATAATTCCAACACAAATCCCACTTCAAAATTCAGATAAACAAACATGATTTTAACTTTCAAACAACCATGGTTGACGATTATAAATGAAGCAGAGAGAGGATTGAAGAGAAAAGGAACCTTCTAAAACATGATCTTCAGGACCAATAGAAGAATCAGCACAAACATCACAGACAACCCTGCCATGAATCTCACCAGTCCAAGATTTGACACCTGAGGTTAAAAATACAGCTAAGAAAGCAAAACCCAGAACCATAATTTTGTTCTTTGATTCCATGGTATGTGTTTTTCGTCTGAGACTTTCAGCTGAGCTAACCAACGAAGTACACAGAATATAATCTTTTCCATTTGAGAAAGCAAAGCTTTCTTTCTTGGGCTCAAAACCCATAACCAGCCCATCCCATTGCACCAGAAAATATCTAAAGCTTTATCTATCTCGTCCTATAAATTACCTAGAAGTCTAGTGCATTAATTGGAATGTAATATACTATTAAGAAAATATTTTATTAAAAATATTAATATTTTTGATAAAGTAATAATTTAAAATATTATTTTTTTATTAAAAATATTAATATTGAGCGCTACCGAAAATATTTAATATTTTCAGTAAAATATTATTTAAATTATTATTTTTCTATCAAAAATATTAATATTAAATTTTACCGAAAATTAATTAGTAAAATTAATAATTTTAATAAAAAAATAATATTTTAAATAACAATTTATTAAAAATATCAAAAATATTAAAAAATATTAATATCTCTAATAATAAATTTCCTTAAATCATATATTAAATTTGCCGTACATCACTGCTACCCGCATCACTCTTCATTCCAAATCACAGTCTTTCCAAGTTCATCAACAGGCTCAAAATTCTGCCTTTTTTTCTTTTCATTTTTAAGTACGAATTTTCCAAAAGGAGCCTGATTTTGTTGATGATATTGCCCGAGGAACCTGAGGGATGCCGATGATGGTTTTTATTTGTGGGTTTTGCTTTTTATTTTATTTTATTAAAAGTTCCTCATTTTTTAATCAAACATGCAGTTCCAATAAAAAAATGCTTTTTTTCCTTGATAGGAGTTATTATTTAATTATGATCAAATTTATAATCCCTGTGATGATCTTTTTATTTTATTTTGAAAGTTCCTGATTTCAATACGAAGAATATCTAATTCTGAGGGTATAATAATTTTTTAATTTCATCTAATCTTTTACTGTGATTTCCTTTTTGTAGATTATTTGTGTTCCTTTTTGCTTAGATTGAATGCTTTCTGGTATTGTTGGTTGTTAACTCTACACTGATTTGCATGCCAAGGATCTTTTATGGTGATATCAATACAGATCAAACTGATGGTGGGTGATTTCTTTTAGGCTTTTAGCTCTACTGTTCTGCATCCCAAAGATGATGATATGCATTGTTACAAGTAGTGACTGATCGATTAATGATCACCTGACGATAAATACATGATATTGAGGGATGCAAAAAGAAAATGTTTTATATTGTTCATCGTTGAATACATTTTCTGTTGGCATTAATCGGATATGCATCTTGTATGCAAGTTTATCTTTTAATTTTGTGCAATCAATCATGGCCTAAACGATTTTGAGATGGCAAGGGTTTGATTTCCTTGTTAGCAATGAGGCCTGCTGGTTTTTATCCTACTATTATGCATCCCGATGATGATGGATATGCATTGTTAAAAGTAGTGCCTGATCGGTTGATGATATATACATGATGAGGGATGCATATTTTATGGAATTGACAATTGAGCTACTATCACAATAATACAAGTTGTGCTGAAACAGAGATGCCCATGGTGCATTTTCACACTGGCCTTTGCTATTTGTGGTATCGTTCCCTTAGAACACCCTTCATCTTTTATTTTTACTTTACTATTTCTTTCGTATAATTATAGTTCAAATTCAAGTCAGACAATAAAGAATGGTAATTGCACCCTATGTATGCAGATTACCATCCAGCTATTATAGTTCCAAAGGTTATCGCAGACCCTAAAAATTTAAAACAAGAGTAAAATGTTCAGTGACTTACAAGGTGGGAGTAAAACAACTCTAAAAATTTATATTTTTTTATTTGAAAAATTTTGACTCAAATTTTGAAATAGGTTGTAAGTGAACAGAATGTTAGGTGAATTGTTTGTGTAACGTTCGTCTATGTTCAATTGCTTATATTCACGAACAAACTCGTTTATCGACTTGTTTGTTTATGTTTAGAAGCTCGTTTACCTTTTATTCATTTACACTTTAAATATTGGTGAATTTAGGGATTAAATTGAACAAATGGTGAAATTTAAAGATTAAACTATGAAGTTTAAGGAGTTTAATCACTAATGATATAAATTTATCATACTTTAGCTTACAAATGAACATGTTCGCGGACACTAAATGAATATATATGTGAATATTAAACGAACATGTTTGTAAATGCTGAATGAGTGAACGCAAACACTTTCAAAAATATAAATAAACATTAACATGATATTAAAAATTTAAATATGAATATTTTTAAAAGTAAATAAACGAACACGAACACAACCTTATTCGTTCAAGCTCAATTCATTTGCACCGCTAAAAATAAAAGTCAAATAGTTATAAACTTGAACTATAAAATAGAACTCGAATAACTTAAATTTTTAGTAATTAGTGGATTGATTTTCGAGTTTGAGTCGAACCCCTCAATTTTGTATGATATATATGTATCAAATTAGAATCAAATATTACAATAATATCTTAAATATTTACAATTAAATTTAAATAGAAATTCGAACAACTTGACTCAAATTTATAAATTGAATTCAACTCGAGAAAGTTTCAAATAAAAATTCGAATAACTCGAATTTTTTTTTATTCGATTCGATCTAACGTTCACCCTTAGATACACTAACTTTTCTTTTGTAAGGTGGGTCGATTTTAAATGAGAAGCATTTGATGCAATGGTGGAACCAACATGAAATGAAATTGAAGCCATTGTTGAAGAAAGAGAAGAGCTTATGGTTTCAGTTTTTTGCTAACTTAATCCTCCCTTAATGAACCAATTAAAGGGCAGATTTGGTGGTTCGATAAACCCAAACAAAGCTGGGATTTTGGTGTTACTGATTGTTGACTGATTATGGAAGGCCTGATTAGCTTATTCTTTGTCCAGATAGGTTGTGGAAATGGACAGGCTCTCTTTGTCAAACAGAGGTTGACCAATTAAACTCATCACGGAATCGCTTAATAGTTTGGTTGGCCCAGTACTATTGCCGGTTTCTATGATATCTTTTCCGTTTTCCGTTTTGGTGGTTGGATAATGCACACGATACGTGTAAATGATATGTAATTGTACAAAGCACGATTGAATGACATCTACGATACATATAGTTTTAAGTTGTTAAATAAACTTGATCAAACTCGTATTAGTATAAAAATTAACTACAATTTTGAATACTGAGATTCTAAGTATTTTATAAGAAAATAATTATTTTTAACTATCATATTGATACAAATTTGATTAAGTTACTTCTTTTTTTTAATAAAATTTGTGTAATTATGAGTCTAATATGACAATTAAAAAACATATATAGGTATTCGTGCTCGTATAATATGCATCTTTGTCATGTATCATGTGTGTTTTTTTTAATAAAAATCGTATGATTTTTATTTTATATTTCTATTTATTTTTATTTTATTATGGATAACGCAATATTGAGAAAAAAAATCATTCGGAAACCCTACCATATAAGCAAAAGCTCATAAAAAATAGTATCAAAAGTCGTTAGAGGCGTCTTCATCAAAAGGATATTATTTTGGTAAAAATATTATTTGAATACCTTATTAATAAAAAAATTGAAAATGTATTATTGTGATAAATTGCCAAAACTTCAAATACAAAACCAGTGAAAAAGAAAGGTAACCTGATGTAATTACCCCCCTGCTATCTATACAAGACCCTAAGAAAACATGAGTTGCATGCCTAGTGATACTATCTTTTTCGTACAGCAGGTCGTTTTTTTCCGGTGAGGATCATTGGTTACAATGGCGGAACCAGCCGGAAATGAAAATGAGGCCATTGTTGAAGAAAGAGAAGGGCTTATGGTGTCACTTTTTGCTAATGGGAAACCATATTTAAGAACTGCCCATTTCCTTAAACCAACTCTATCTTCCATTGATGAACAAATCCCGGAGCTTTTCCCACTATCCTTCTCTTCTCTACCCTACAGTTTTCAGCCTAAAGAGTGGCCTTTGCAGATCAAATTCGTCGGTTGGATAAACCCAATAAAAGCTTGGGTTTTTTGGGTTAATACCATGCGTCCCATGTACCAACCAATCTGGGAAAAAGCTGGTATCTTCGAAGCAATAATGAGCTCAACTTGCTCGATTAAAAGATATCATGACTTAGTCTTTGGTTTAGCAGAGAAATGGAACCCCAAAACCAACACTTTCTTCTTCCCTTGGGGTGAAACAACAATCTCTTTAGAAGATGTGATGATTTTGGGAGGCTATTCAATTGTAGGCTTCCCTGTTACGTTCTCCGGTGATGGCCTACAACTCAAGGAAGCTGAAGATAAACTTGTTGCAGAACACAAGAAAATCAGAGGGGGTGCAAGTAGAAGGACAAGTTTAACTGAGTGGATGGATTATTTTACTGGAAGTGGGTTAGATATTGAGCATGAAGCCTTTCTTTCATGGTGATTAACAAGGTTTGTTTTCCCAGACGCTGATGTAGTCATGAAAAAGAAAGTGTTTCCAATTGCATGCCTTTTGGCTAGGGGCCAAGTTGTGGCACTAGGACCAGCTGTGTCGGCTAGTATTTATAAGGACTTGACTTTGTTGAAAGAAACCAATGTTGGTTTAGCTAGATTCAATGGTCCCGTGTCGAGAATTATGGTTTGTTCACCGATGAAGTTGGTTCAGCTTTGGGCATGGGAAAGGTTCCCGGCATTGCAGCCACGGCCTAAGGTGATCCAAGAGTTTGATCCCAGATCAGCTAGATGGAACGATGTGGAGATAGTGAAAGTCGAAAATGTGAGGATGGTTTTGGATTCGGCCGGCGAGAATTTCGATTGGAGGCCATATGCTAAAGTTGTTAATAACAAGCAGAGACATGAATTTTACAGAGAGAAAGAAGAGTGGATATCGATCGATGAAAGGCCAAGAAAAGAATTAGTATCGTTTGCCCTATGTTTGAGGCCTTCTGAGTTGATTGGATAAGGACCAGGATGCATCATACAGCAGTACCTTCCGCATCGAGTGGCAATGCAGTTCGGAATTGATCAAGACGTACCATCTCATGTTGCTCGGTCCAACGTGTCTCCCGGAATCGCTTGGAAAAATTACCTGAGGCCACTAAGTGGTACAAAATTGTATATTCCGTCTCGATTCTTCGAGCCTGACATTACTGTCAGG